CCCCCAACCTACTACTAGCGATTGTTTCCAAGCTAATACCGATGGCCTCCAACCTAATAGCGATGGCCTCCAACCTACTACACTCCCTGGAACTAACATGGAAGTGGAGAATGGCCCCTTGGAAGACAATTTTCCCGTACAAATAGGTGGTTGTCCACTTCCATGTTAGTTCGAGGGAGAGTAATAGTGATAGCCTCCAACCTGCTAATAGCGATGGCCTCCAACCTACTAGTAGCGATGCGATAGCCTCCAACCTACTACCTTCGATGGCCTCCAACCTCCAATCTACTAATAGCGATGGCCTCCAACCTTATAATAGCGATGGCCTCGGACTCCAACCTACAAATAGCGATGGCCTCCAACCTACTAACTATACAATAGTGATGGCCTCCAAACTAATAGCGATGGCCTCCAACCTACTAATGGCGATGGCCTCCAACCTACCAAATTACATGATGTTCCTTGGCATTCAGTGTACAATGTGCGACGATTGCTGAATATATCATAATTCATAATATATCTCCAAATGTACTTGCCATATCTTGCCATCAAGACCGAGCGGCTACTGCATCGTGGCGAAATCAGGTCAGTCATTTGGGTCGGGCTGAGATTGCCGAGCTGGATTGGCTTAAAGCGGAAGACTTCTTTGCAGCAAGGAAGAGCGCCTTTAGTGTTCGAAAGCTTCTTCGTTTGATATCCGACGTACGTCCTGTTGTGTTGATATCAGTTGTTCTGCAGGCCCGGCTTGCAAATAGATGTGATCTTGGCTGCTGACGTGGTGTGGCTTATGGAGCTCGTTGAACCTCTAGTAAATGCCATCCAGATTGCACCTCGACTCATTATTATTATTGTTATTGTTACTTATTTTTTGTTCTACATGAGAATCCTTCCGACGTTGGTATTTTGCGCAACATGGATAATCCCTCCCCGCGGTAAAACGACTCTGGTCGAGTTCCTTTTGATAGGGGGACTCCCAAAGATGAGAAAGCAAAAAGAGCTTCAACACCGAAAAGTCGCCGAGGACAATGTTTAGATCAACGCCTTCATAAAACTCGTATCAAACAATCGAAGTTCTTCGGTTGCAAACTTTCTGCCGGGCCAACAAATAAGCAATCGAATGGTGATGTCGCTGTGTCATGCGCATTGATGAGGCCTTGTTTGTGTGGCTCCGGGCCACTGGGGTGTGAATGCAGCGTGTCGCTGGTGAGCAGCACGATTGGTGGTGGGCTGTAGTACCTACCTAGTTTATACCCCTACTCTAAAATTGCCTCGGGAGCATTGCGTGATGAAAAGTAAACGCGGCAATGACACATAAAAGTAAGCTGTAAGTGGCTTTTGGATAGGGTCCATGAGATTATATCATTACCTTGGCAGACGTTTGAGTGTCTGACAGCTCAGATTATCGTTTTTCAAGGCGGCGCAGCATAATCCCAATGTAGAAGTGCTGGTGGTGCATCAGACGCGCTCTGCAAGCGTTGAGTCAGCCTTCATTCAAGTACAAAGCTCAGTGGGCTTCATTTGTTCCCTTGCAGTCATTCCCTTGAGATCCGCTTCAACTACAACATGCCATGCACTTCAGCTGTAAGCGGAGAGACATTGCACTGATCCAATCAGGTCGAGTTGCGGAAGCTGTCCCAGTTCTTCCATTTGTTGAATGTAATTACATGACACATGCCATCGCCTCAAAGGCGATGGAGTCACGCTCCTTGCAGCCCTCGTGGACGCTTCTGGGTGGCTCTTCATCCAGTGAAATTCAGTGGCACCAGGACGGCCCACTTTGCAACTCGTAGAGCCAAAGCCTTGGGGGTTGAAGCTCTCGGAGGACAGACTCTTTCAGTCAATGAGATCATCTATATTCATTTCCGTCCTTGCAGGACTTTACGCCTGACCCACGCATCAAGCTTTGGTGCTTCAAACTTCGCACAGAGACCTGTCGCAAAAGAACTTCCAAGCGCCTCGACGGGCATGGCCCAGTAAAGCCTGTACCCAAACATGGTCCGGTTTAAACCGGGTGTTCAATCCACTGACATAGAGTCGTACTTTGCCCTCGCACCGATGGCTTGATGGCTTTGCTTGATGGCTTTTCTCTCGACCGATGAGCTGTTGACCCAAAGACATGGGCTGGCCCTTGTTTGGCCAGCCATCGAAGCCATAGCGATGACGTATCTAGATCAGATCTCTTTAGCCACATCATCAATACATCATAATTAATGTATATATACAGTATATATACATCACTAGATTTGTAAGGAGCAAATATCACCCATTAGAACTCGCTAGATTCTGGAGATTTCTGAAGTGCCATAACAAATGACTATGACTCGACTGGTGTGTGTGTGTGTGTGTGGGATTTTTTGCACATTTCTTGGCTTGGCATTTCGCGCTATGGCAACTCCTCCAGCGCTTTTTGATTGGCCATTGAGTCAGCACGAGAAGAGGGACTGTGTGATTCGGCTCTATGACCAGGCTTGAGCTGTCATCAAACATGTGTCAGGGGTTCAGACCGCACCGGCATGTGCTTCTCTTTAAAGGTTTGAACCGCGATACTTTCCTTCCCTTCACTATAGCTAATAATTACTGTACAAAATAACAGCTCGGCAGCCACACTGGCGAACCCAAGATGCAACTGATACCTTCGATGCATTTGCCACAAAGTATGGGCGTCTAGCAACATGCAAAGCTGAACATTCCGTGATACCCCGGGTTGAAATAGCATGGCAGCCCACTGCCCTGGGGAACCAGCATGCTCCATGTGCGCCGCTGCATCCGATTTGTGTCCGATGCCGGTGCGCCAGGATGTGAAAGCATCGGATGAGGAGCTGGAAGCTTTGCAAGCTGAAATCGATTCGATGAGACAAAGTAGCTCGATCTTTGCGTCCTCATTTCTCCCACCAAGCGCAGGGAGCTCTCACCACACAGCTCAATCAACTCACCTGAATGATGACAGTCACAGCAGTTACAGTTACACCCATCTTCCTGGCCCCCCTGGCTTGCCGCCAGTCTCCTCTGTCCAACATGCAGAGCAAATGGCCGAAGAGCTTCGTGCCACCATTCGAGCTGCCACTGCAGCTTTGAAAGCCTTGGAAGAAAACATCCGACCAGAGACTCAACGAGCCACGACCCAAACCACTCCCTCGACTCGGGAGGCGACCCAAACCGCTCCCCCGACCCTGTCTCGTTCTCGCTCCGAAGGGCCCCATGGGCCCCTCGGAATCCTCTCGCGACACGAGCGACGTGGTCGAAGTTTGGATGGCCTCAAGCGACGTGTCTCCTTCGATGGGGATTCCGCAGCGTGACTGCAAACGAAGTAGAGCCAAGCTGTCCATGCCAATGTCATGCCATTATATAGTTTTAACATGTGTTTTGACATTGAACAGTTTCTTAACTGCTTGCAATCTACTGGGTTCATATGTCGGTACTAACGTTTGTGTGCCTTGTGAGGATTCGGTTTTTGTGAAAGTCAGGTAGCACCGGACGATCTTCAGGAGTTCACCGGGCGCGGCTTCGCTGCCGTTGAAACGTCACTTGGATCGGTCATGGCAGGTCAATTTGGGTTCGTATCAACTTTGATTGCATTCGTCCAAACAGGGCTATTTCCCGGAGCAGGGCCGTTTCCAAGAGTTGCTTCTTAGAGACTTTGCTTTAGTGACTTTGCAGGACGACGCCAGGTCCCTTGCGCACGCGGAACCAGAGCCAGAACTGCCTGTTTCAGAGCTTCGGAGGGAGGACATGAGCTGAAGATTTTTACCCAGACACAGAGTACCATCAGTACTGCCAGTGCTGGACTCCTCGCAGGACTCTTTGCGCCGAGGGTCTGGTTCCAGGCGCTACAAGATCTGTTTTGCACACTGAGGAAATTCAGGAATTCTAATGAATGCGTGTTTCTAATAGCTTCTTGTTACTACTAGTAAGGCACTTGTTACTAGTAGCGAGGCACTTGTTACGAGTAGCTTCTAGTAGGCTTGCGCAGGAGGATTGAGTTGACCCACACAACTCGTGACGCAATGCCAGGAAGCCACAGGCGAAAGCAAAGGCCGTGACACCAAGACGAGTCCAAAGAGTGGAGGCGCGCACCGGACACATCCAAACACCGAAAACTGTCGGTCTACGATACAAGTGTCATTATGAGAAGCAATCACGATCAATAAGCAATCAGGAGATCTGATTTTTCGTGGAGTCGGCGGCGCTGTACATGTTTTTTCGATGTTGCTTTTTTTGAGTTATCAGTGGTGTGAGGAGCCAGAGAGGAGCGCGCCCCGCAGAATTTGGCGAGGTCGCAAAAGCGGGTGACACTAAGACCACTGTCAGTGGCTGTGGATAGTAACTCATGTCAAACAAAGTATGCTGCTGTGGGCAGTGAGTTGCAACAAGCTGATTGGACGCAGGTTTGCCATTGGTACTGCAGCTATAACTAGGAAATATGTAGTTAGCTGCTGTTCTAGATTGCAAGTGTCATGAATGTAGGGCATGTATTGTCATATGTGTCCCACATACACACTTGCGTTTGCTAGTGACCTCTGTTTCATGCCGGCTGACCAATAGCGTTTCACAAAGAAACTCACTTGCATCTAATTCATTGGCACGCACAATGCTTGTACAGAGGACGCCAAAGTTTTTGCCAACGTTCATCCGCAGCCTAGAGAAAGAAGCACTGGTGAAGTTGTGGATCCACCAGTTTGGCAGCGTTTGAAAGTGGATTGTGTGACCCTGTAATAAAGCTTGAATTCAGATGCAATTCTGTGTTCACATTCAGTTCCAAAATATTCCAAACATGCAACAAGCATGACCAGATGCATAGAAGCCAACTGTACAGCACCGAACTATGGACTGGTAGCATCATCAGCACAAGCCTTTAAGCATCGTCGGGTTGCTGCGTGGAGGTGGGAGTCTTGGACGAGGCGGCGCTACTCAAAGCGTGCGCATGGGATTTGCATCATGTTGCATCAAATCTTGAGCAGCCAAGATGGGATCTTCCGAGGAAGGTTTCGATGTGTTTCGATGCTAAAAAGAAGGGCGGCAGGTTCCTGTTTGAAATATTTTGAAGCATACTTTGCATAGCATACAAGGCCTACAATTAGCCTGCCTGGCGCAGTCAACGCAGCTTGCATAGGCTTCACCTAGACAGCTGCCTCCACACAGCCCCATAGCCTACAGCCTATAGCCTACTGTAAGACCCAGCCTACATTACCGCACAGCCCTCATGCGATTGCATTCCCAAAAAGGATCAAACAGGTAAACATGCAGAGATGCCGCATCCTCAAAGGTACCATCAAACCATGATAGCCTTGAGCCGCTCATCCGAACGAAAGGAAGCAGCGAAGGCCGGGCCTGAAGGTTGGCCAACCTTAGTTTGTGAGACCATGACACTTTGAAGGTTGGCATTTGGGACTTACATATGGAGGTGTGTAAAATATGGATATATAATCACGAGAACTACATTCATTTCCACAGGTGCTGCAGCTTTGACAGACCCACACTGGACTGGTGAGAGAAAGCACATCGTTTCGTGTCCTGACAGGTGTTCAAGCGAGGATTTGTTGGACGGAGCAGTGGAGTTCGGATGCCTTCGTCAAATGACACTGTTGAGCAGATGTATTGCACTCGATTGCACTGTAAATGCCATGTCCCAGCTGAAAGGTTGTTCCAGAGCTTGGAGAGGGGCCAGCCACTTTTTGTGACATATGTTGTTTTTGCCTCAGGACAGATTGTTGATGCAGGCCATGGTTGAAACTTTAGTGCCGCCCTTAGGGTGGAGGCAATTCCCACACCACTTTGGCAGTGGTCATGTGGCGCTCAACACATGTTGGCACATCAGACTGGAGGTCCAAGATTCAAAGTTCGATCCTCAGCGGTTCAGGAGATTTTTTGCTGTAACAATCTGCATAGTGGTGCTCGAGGGCGGGGAAAGGAATGTGCGGCCATGAAACCAAAAGCACAGCCAGATTGACCAGAATCAGACATCAGAAGCACCGCAAACTACGTCAAGTTGCAGAATAACAGGCAACATCAGGCAACTCCATGTCAGCCTAAGCCGACAACTTGCATTTCTAGAATCCTTTTGGGTTACTGTCGGTCCCAGGCAGCGTTTGCGTTGGCAGTTCCACCCCAATGCAGATTAGCAGATTGTGCAGTTGACAACAAGAAAGCAAAATCGCAGTAGTTTCATCATGGTTTGTCCAAACTAATAGCTTGTACACATAATATATATATATAAATAATAATATATAACTGTTGTCAAAACTTTGCGGATCCAACAACAGAATGTCTCCTTTAATTCCACAGAGCTGTGCTCTCCTCGTCCCTTTTTGCACATCCTGTGTGTTCTGCGCACCAGGTCCTGGGCTGATGGGACCGATCTTTGCAATGAGGCAGACATGCAAGTGAGATCCAAAACAGAACTAACACCTTTTTGTCTGGGGGTCTTAATTGTGTGTCAATGGCTTCAACAGAGCTAAGTGTGTTTTTGTTAAGCCATTTTTGCTGTTCAGTTTTTAGCGGCCTCAATCCACTCTCCTACTCTAGCAGCTGCTGCGAACTATCCAACAGACCAAATGCTACCTGAATCGTTTGCCAGATCTTGCAAATTGTGGATGAGCTTCGGCAAGCGGGGCAACCCAACAAACTCATTAAATTCGGTAGTACTAGCTTGCTAGTTGGGTCCAAGGCTGGTTTGGAGCCCAACTTCCTCACATTGGAGGCCCTGTTTGCAACGGACACGCTGATTGTTGTCCGATGTTTTCCCAAAAACACGCAAGCATGGCGAATGACGACTTGTTTGGAACTTTCGCTTGCCTGTCTTGCCTGCAGCAAGCACAGTACAAGCGGAGACTGGAACATCCTCGAACTGTAGCTTACCGTAGACTCAGCGCTCAACGTATGGTCCATACTCCTTTGTTTTGCCCTTTGCATCATGCATGTGCACAGACACTTGCTATGAAGACCGAACTTGATCTACTTCCGACATTCTTGGAGACCAGGCGATGCTTCAGATTTTCGAGGATAAGGGTCGCGCTGATGCAGCGGTAAACATCCTTCACCATGTGCAAGGCAGGTATGTACTGCTTTGTGATTTGTGATATATGCTTGCATTGTACTTTGATACGCCCTTGACAATCTTGGTAACTTGAAATGTTGGAATACAATTGCTATCCTTGGACTGGCTGGTGTTCGGGAATCCTTGCTGTCCCATTTGCTCTCCTGGAGTCGCCTTTCTGCCTTTCGGTGTTCGTGCCATCAGAGGTACACATGTAAATGTAGCCCTCTTCTGCCCGAGTTTGGATAAAGTCGAGTTCCGCAACTGCGCAGGATTCCGCAACTAGGATTCCGCAACTGTTTGGTCGGATTCCGCAACTGGGATTCCGCAACTGGGATTCCGAAACCAGGATTCCGCAACTAGGATTCCGCAACTAGAATTCCGCAACTAGGATTCCGCAACTAGGATTCCGAAACTAGGATTCCGCAACTGTCAAGATTCCGCAACTAGGATTCCGCAACTAGGATTCTGCAACTGGGATTCCGCAACTGGCGTTCCGCAACTAGGATTCCGCAACATTGTGGACTCCCTCACTAGGATTCCGCAACTTGGTGAATGATGAGGGGTGTCGAGATGACACGATGGGGACGCGGGGGGGGGTTGGGGGGTGGGGGGGTTGGGTGGGGGGCTAATGACGTTGGTTTGGATGTGCTTCGAAGGTGATGTCACAGGCACACACGCTATCGCATGATGTGGAGATCACCAGTTGCAAGTTTCAGAAGGCAAGTTGCAGAATCTGACTTTCCAGTTTCAGAATACCAGTTGCAGAATCTGACTTTCCAGTTTCAGAATACAAGTTTCAGAATCCCAGTTTCAGAACCCTAGTTTCAGAACCCCAGTTTCAGAATCCTAGTTTCAGAACCCCAGTTTCAGAATACCAGTTTCAGAATCCAAGTTTCAGAACCCTAGTTTCAGAACCCCAGTTTCAGAACCCTAGTTTCAGAATCCGACCGATTAGTTTCCGAATCCGGCTCTAACCAGTTTGGATAAAGTCGAGTTCCGCAACTGCGCAGGATTCCGCGGGAGTTTGGCTTTTGATGCTTTTGGGACGCGTTTTGAGGGCGAGGGTTCATTCCATTGTGTTGGTCCAACAGCGCCCTTCTTCAGTTCCGGATTTTGTTTTGAGAAATGGTGTTGGCCCATTGCTGTAGTGAGCCACCCTCCTCCAAGATTTGGGTTTGGATTCGCTGTTCGGGTTCGGATACCCCTTTGGTATGCTTGACATTTTGTTGGGATTGTTGGGTGTGTTTGCGAGGGGATGCTGCATGGATACTACTGTACGTAGAATTGCGTGGCTTTTGCACATTTGGAGACATTGCTAGCCGCTAGCCAAGATAAAACATCAGAAGATTTGAGCTTGGCTTGACTTGGCTTGAGGGCACACTGCCTCCATCTCAGTAGGGCCCTGCTCCAGCAAGGACTTCATCGTAGTTCCTAAAGCGCCGCAAAGCGACCGAAGCCATCCGAAGTCATGACGGCACTGAAGCTTAACTCGCTACTTTGGCTTCGTCCGATTCGGGCTTCGGTTTTAGGTCTTCCTTGAAAGTTGTTTGCGCCTGATTCAATGTTCCTTTTTGTTCCCACCATGCTCTTGACGTTTTGAGTTGCACATGAACCTATTGTCACAGTGTTTAGGTATTTCTCAAGATAACGGCTTTCCCAGATGGTCATTTCTGCGTACCAGAAGCTTCCCAGCTTCCCACTCATGAGAATTTTGTTCCTTCAGAAAGGCCCCGCCACCAAACAGCTTGTTCAAAAGGGCAACGGCGTTCGGCTTCCCTGCTGCCCACTTCCCGAGTGCAATTCTTTTAACTGCAGGAGGATCCAGAATTCTCAAAACATTTACCAAGCACTACGAACCTCAGTTGTACTTTAGCTACAACTATACTCTTCCGGGATTTGACTTGCGGCAGAGTGTTTGTGCCCGTCCCATCCACTTTACAGGCTCTTGGCCTCTTCCAGAGTGTGGAGTTTTGCCTTTGAATGTTCGTTCGTGTGTGTTGATGGTCGCATAGAGCCCTGGAGCGACGAAAGTGGGGTACACGTCATGTGCAACAGTTGTGAAAGGAAATTACAGCGGCTGTTGGGCCTGCCGACAATCTGCAGAATGCTTTTTGTTTTTTTTTTGTGGGGGGTAGGCCATTTGGTAGGCCAATAGGAGAGGTAGTACAGCAAGTAGCAAACGGGAGTGGCTATACTGTAGTAGTAGAAGCAAGGTCGGGAGTCGCTAGTAGCTAACAAGTAGCTACTTACTACCGACAGGACGCAGGATAGCTCACAAGGAAGCTCCCCGTGCCTGAGGATCCTGAGGGCGTGGGGCAGCTTCCTTGAAGAAGCGCTCGCAGTATTCATTTGGTTCCTAGACTTTTAGGGAAACTTAAGTAAGTAGAGAAAGTTTCACCTCACAGCTGAGCTTGATGCGCTGGAAGGCAGATTGGCAACGTCGGCAAGTGCTAAGCTCAGGTGAAGTTTACTCTTCACAAGCCTCTCAAGTGGACCGAGTCATTCCAAGTGATGCAGTGATGCACGATTCGTTTCCACAGGACCGTCCCTGCGTCAAAGTGAGTTCAAGGTCAAGGCCAAGGTTGGGATGGAGCCAGACATTGACGGACTGTCACTACAGTGCAAGTAGGAAAACGCTGGAGAACGGTCCTAGGCTGTGGATTTGACGGGAGTTTTGACGGGCCTTGCTGTGATAATATAGATGCAACATGATGCAACGATTCGGTGCAGGTTTACGAGAGCGTTTGCAGGTCTTGAAGGCAGCTCGATTCCAAAGAAGGGTTGACCTGGAGGAGGCCTCGTTGACGGGTTGAGGAACAGGACAGCAAGAAAGGGAAGTTCAGGTTTCGTACTCTTGTGGAGTATCATGGAGGTGCCTACTTCAGCACCACCAGTGGGTCATAGGTGGGGTCACATTCAGACTGGTTTCCTTATGATTCCTTTATATTGGGAGTTATATATATATATATATTATTTTTTTTTTGATATATAAACTCCATGGTTTGCCAAACCAGGCTCTAGGTGTATCCGAAAACAAGTTATTTGCTGTCAATCTATGTGTTTGGACTCTGTACCCATCTGTCCACCCGCTGGAGGCCGGCCAGCGTATTTGTACATATATATATATAATTAAGATATTGTTATATTATAGAATAATGCACAGCTCTCTCTCTACATATATATATATATTATCAATTTCCTTGTTCTGGCGCTTCCTCCTCTGGAGTTATATATATATAGGTATATATAGGTGTTGCTGTTGCATTCTGCGAGGCATTGCATGTCAGTCAGACTTGGTGGTACTCTGATTCGTTCCATATTGATCAACCCATTGAAGCTGCAGACGCTGAGATCAAGCGACCACACGTTTTTGCATTGTTTGGCCCATGGGCGAGTGCACCTCTTCATGCTTCTCTTCAGCAAGTGGATTGACATCCCAACGAGAGAAGCTGAGAGCCGAGAGCTGCTACTGTTACTTATTAATGTCACTCTTCATACTCTTCCTGACGGCTCACCGCGGTAGAACAAAGCGGCAAATGCGTTTGAGCTTGTTGTTTCAGGACCTGAAGCTGCATGCCCACGCCAAACTAAACCGCGCATAAGCACTGGCATTCCTTTTCCATCAGGTGAAAAGAAGTATGAACGCACGTCGATGTCTACGAAGGGGTTTGAATGATTCACTGTCCAAGCCAATGCCAGACTCCTCCCATTGTTTGTGTCAGTGGTAGTTTCTGTCAGTTCACAAGACATGGTTGTCCAGAAAACAAGTGGGGAGCCTGCCTGCTGCCATCTCCAAGTGACGTACTGAGGTCTTGCAAAAGATGTGCAGCTTGAGTTGCAAGATCAGCCTCTCAGAGAAACTTTGAGCACCAGTTTGCTGGAAATAGTTTGAAAGATCTCCCTTAGCTCAGAGATGAGCTGAGAGAGAGAGAGAGAGAGAATGATTTCCGTAACTTTTGGGAGTGTTTTGACTCGAACTTTCTTAGAACTTCACTGTTGGCTGAAAGGCTGTTGAAGCTTGCCGAGAAGGGTGAAGCTGCAGCTTGTGATGAGCTCATCACGCACCATTCACTGGAAGTCAACTTTCAAGAACATCAAGAAGGCTACTAGTAGTGGCAAACAACAAATGATTCTGATGCTCTATTTGTATCAGGAAGCTGCGTTGGCAAGTGGTTCTCCTTTGTGAATCTGCTGTTGTTTGGACGGAACATCCAAGCACAGAACAAGCCAGGCCATCATGGTTCATAATTGAGGTTCAATAACACTGTGCCCCTGAAGGTAACACTGCTTTGCATCTAGCAGCCGAAGAAGGCCTGCTGAACTGTGCAGAATGATTCAGCTGCTTTCCCATCGATCAAGCCTCCCCCAAAAGCACAGTTCAGATCAGATTCGCTGTATTTCGCTGTGCATTCGCTGTATTTCGCTGTGCAGCTTGTAGCCTCAGTTGTATTTGACACTGGGTTTTGGTCTATGTTTCTGGGAGGTCTCTCGATTTTAATACCGTAGTGTATATAACTCTTACTGCGGCGACCGGATGCTTGTTGACCAGCCCCTGAGCCCGGGCCCATCCCATCAATGTGCCAAAAATGGAAACATTGAGAACAAACGAGAGAGTTGATCGCTCTCTGGCAGTCTGGACCAAAAGAGGGACCTGCAGTCGCCCCACGAGGTCATGAGGTCCCTAGGGACCACGGACCTGTCCCCAAGACCCAGCCAGAGGTCCATGAGGTCAGAGCCAGAGGTCCATTCCGTCCATTCTCACCACCCAGGTCATGATTCAGTGATTCGTGTCTTGCTGGCGGCAAAGGCCAATCCAAATGCGCGGAACACTTATAGTCTAAGGCACGGTGAGGGGTCCAGAAGCACCATCCTAGCACGTGTTTTGTGGTTTTTCTGTGAGAAGAACCACAAAGTGTCCAGGTCCTCCAAGAACTGGCTTGTTGGATAGGCACTTTTGAGCCACTTCCAGATCTTTCCCCTGAAAGGGCTATAGACCTTGCAGATAGCTCCTCAGTTGCCTTCAGCCTCTTGAACGACGTGACGGAAGTGGACTCACGGCATCGATATGGATTTTCTTTGGGTGAGAGAAGGGAATCACTTGGAGGCGTGTGAGAAGAACTCATGCAGCCTTGAAATAGACCAAGAATTCGCAATGCTGGAAGTCTGGACAAGAAATTTTCGATGGCATGCCCATTTTATATGCGTTTGACAGGGGCTCTTGACTTAAAGTCAAATGGCTTGTCAGCTTAGCTTTTCAGATTAGGCTCTTTTGCGCTTATGCTAGCAAAGTTGTAAGTGGCTGCTAGCAGCCGCCGATTGCGAGCAAAAGAGACAGGACTGGTTTCGAGCAATTCATACCAGGTGTGGTAAGATCATGGTTTTACTGGAGGGTCATGAACTGTGAATTGTGCAGCTCAAAGGCATCCTTACTGTCCTGCCTGCGTTTTGGAGGTGTTGCAACATGTAAACTAAATAGTATAGTCAGTGCCAGGATGCATGGTTCGCCCCCCCAAATCAACTACAGGGACTATCGGTTTAGGGTTTGCACGGTCATTCGCATGCAGTTGCTGAGAGCTTGATACAACTTGATCATAGTTGAGCGTAAAGATATGTACAGTATATACATGTATACACTATGTTTATAACTTATATAACATTAAAGTATGTTTAATGTTATAGTATATTTGTTATTGAATCTCCAACACCGCGGACAAAGCTTCAATTGCCTAATGTGCTCCCTCAAAGCGCTTGAGGGCAAACCATGAATTCATGGGTCTGTAGTGATTTACTGCATCAAACTGAGTTATACCCCAGTTTGTTGTCAAGATTTCTCAGCCTACATTGTTCGTATATGACTAGACACGTTTCGTTCATGACAAGACACGTGTCGCTCCAGGCATGGCAAATTCTTGAAGCCCATGGCAAAGCAGATGCTCAAAGCCATCAGATCTTGCAGAGGCCTCGTCCCAGCCTGGGAGGTCCCAGATCGATGGTTGGCTTCGTCCCAGTTTGGTCGTTTGGTTGGCTCCATGGGGGAGTCGCATGTGTCACGCATTCCAGGCGAATGGGGCTTTTTTGTTGGCAGTTGCTGGAGAGGTGCGGGAGCCACAACTTGGGTGCCCCAACTTGGGAATGGAGATAATGGACATGGCATGAAAGAAACTATCCTGATTGCATCACCGTGGCGAGTCTCTATCGCTAGATTTTCTTTTTTGTCAAACCCAGTGGTAGAACGGCGGCTTGAACTTGGAGAAACAAGTAAGAAAGAATACACTTGGAGGTGGTGCCTCCTCTACCATGATTAGAAGCAAACATGATTCAAGTAGCATTTAGCACATGTTTTTATGACACTTTGTTGAGGGTTGCCACTCGAGGCACCAGCTGTCCCGTTTGACGTCAAGTGTGGTGCCTATGCAATGCGATCTCTGTCCTTCCTGTTGCACATCTTGCAGCCCAGGATCGTTGCTAAAGGAGCATTGCCACTTGCCTTTGCAGGTGAAGCTGCTGTTTATAACATGAAGTGCGTGTTCCTCATGTGCTGTTTATCCCAGCCACCATACTTGTAGGTATCCTGGATATGTGATATGTGTGACTGTTTGCTTGTGCCGTTTCTCAAATAGCTACACCCATCTAGACGGTTGCCAGGCACCTTGGCAGCTGCTTGGGAAGGGAAAGGTCAGAAAGCAGCTATGGTCAAGTGCAGCCTGGATCCCGAGACATGAAGCTGACAGATTGTCGGCGTTCCACGTTGCATCTCTTTGGAAAGAGATGGTGCGATGCTTGGCAAGTCTTGCTTCGCCAAGAAGTGCTACGGTTTGGAGGAAAAACATGGTTGCAGGCTGCAGGCATAGCCTGAAGATAATCAGACAACCATACTCAATCTGGACAAGAGCAGGGCCAGAGATGGTCTTTTGCCAGGTGCTGGACCAGGAAGAAGATGCCCAATGGTGTGGATACGCTTGGATACAGTTCAAGGCGCCCTTGGTGCCCCAAACGAAAAGCTCACGACCAACCTGAGAACTCTCAATGAGCAAACACAACTACTGCGGAACCAGCCAGAATGATGCAAACATACAAGCCTACTAATAGCTTGTAGCGATGGCCTCCAACCTAGTAGCGCCCTTTGCTACTTTGCTACTAGCTACATAGCCGCCACATAGCGCAGGGTCTCTGAAGTGAATTCAAAAACGAGATGTGACCACGTGTTGTCCAGGTCTTTGTGCCAGTGCCGCAGCACTTGGTCGACAGAACTGGCCTTGGTGGAGAAGCTTTCGATCCAACAAGTTTGATATTGAACTGTTCTCACTTTGCACAGGGAATGTATGAACTTTCTCATATTCACAGACATGGATGTCATTCTGTGTTCTCATTATCTTTTGCGCCAGCCGCTGTCATCCGCTATCCAACTGCTCTTATTTTGGGAGATTCACGCAGATTGACATGGATGTGCCATGCCAACAGCGACCTGAATATCGTGTCAATCCAGGGACAGCTCAGTACAGAGGGCTGCGGCCATTTGCTCCGCGAATTGGGAGGCCTGCGACTGCAGAGTTGCTTTGGAGTGACTTCAATAGTTTGCTGATAATCCGGATGGTGTCTTGAGAACTTATGTAAACCCCTTAGACTGATTTGCCACGAAGGTGGCTGTCATGCTGGAGCCCCAGTGACCTAGTGATTGCCAAGGTGTTCCACATCAATGCAACTGGTGCAGAGAAAAACAATGAACAAGAAGCTATTAGGAACAAGTGCATCGCTACTAGTAACAAGTGCCTTACTAGTAGCAACAAGAAGCTAGTAGAAACAAGTGCTTGTTTGCGAAAGATCGATCCCAAAAGTGAGTCATTCAACGTTCACTCGGTGGCGGGCCCGGTGAGGCCGTGCCCGGCCGTTGTGAGGCCGTGCGCGGATGATGGGAAACAAATGGGGACCAACCATCGCCTCGCAGGAGAAGTGCAAGGGGAGTGGAAGGAATTTGAAAGAAAGGGAGATCAATGGAGATCATATATTGTTAGACTTTATTAAAATATTTGATTTTATACACAGGATTTTTGGAGTAATGATCACAAAGAAAGGTGCCTCGCGTGCTGGCAAGGACCCAGAGCACTACGCCAGCACCCTAATCACAGGATATGGTAAATGTGTACGGTTAGCTTGGAGCACAGAGAGAGAGAGAGAGAGGAACGAACGCTAAACCGGTTCGCGTGGGTTGTTCTCCCAAGGGGTACCCACTCGCGCCTGCGCAGAGAAAATGGTTAAACAAACAACATGTTTCATATGTTTTCGATATTTACCATTCTTACCGCGCGTGTGGTAGAAAGAAACAACAAAGGCGACCAACCTGGGAAAAGCGGTGAACAAAAGATCACTTTCGTTGTTTTTACCGTTTTTACCGCGCATGTGTTTAAAATTGTTTTTGCGCGCCTTTGGTAGAGCAACTTGGCCATCAGACCTGGAAGACAACGATTAAATACGATAAATAGATAGTTGTTCAATTTTCACCGTTTTTACTGCACCTATCAGTAGAATCCATAGCTGCGGAGAGACTTGGCCAATTCTGATGAGAAGAAATGTCTTGAAATGGACAGATAGAAAGCAGAACTTAGAACTAAAGGATAGGTTTAAAGCAAGAGTAAATGACAGGGCAGACTTGAAGCGAAAGGCATATATTGACACGAACACAAGTTAGTTGAAACGAAGAGGAGTGAGTTGAAACGAACGGACAGCCTTGAAACGCACAGAAGGTTTCCTGAAAAAAGAAGACTCAACATAGCCGTTTGAACAATAATAATCAAAGCCATACCCCACAGCACAGGCAAACATGTCCAGCTCTAAAACTAGGTACCCCATGGTGATAAACATATAGGTCGCCAGACCCAGGAAACACACGAAAAAGACGTTTTTGACGCGCATGTGCCGAATGTCGTGCAAAACGAAAAAAGGAACACACTTACAGTTCTTTTCCGCGCGTGTCGTACAAAAAAACAAGCCACCCGGAAAAGAAAAAAAACACGGAAAAAACATTTGATCACGCGGATCCTTTAAAAAGGAACAAAATGGAACCCACGAACCCGAATGTAATCACGTTCGAAAAACTACATATGTCCAAATGACACTCTTGTAGGATACTCTTGTGGGACACTCTTATAGGACACTCTTGTAGGACACTCTTGTAGGACACTCTTGTGGGTCACTCTTGTAGGAAACTCTTGTGGGACACTCTTGTGGGACACTCTTGTGGGACACTCTTATAGGACACTCTTGTGGGACACTCTTGTGGGACACTCTTGTAGGACACTCTTGTGGGACACTCTTGTAGGACACTCTTGTGGGACACTCTTGTGAGACACTCTTGTAGGACACTCTTGTAGGAAACTTGTAGGACACTCTTGTGGGACACTCTTGTAGGACACTCTTGTGGGACACTCTTATGGCTCACTCTTGTAGGACACTCTTGTAGGACACTCTTGTGGGTCACTCTTGTAGGAAACTCTTGTGGGACACTCTTGCAGGACACTCTTGTGGGACACTCTTGTTGTAGGACACTCTTGTGGGACACTCTTCTGGGACACTCTTGTGGGACACTCTTGTGGGACACTCTTGTGGGAACACTCTTGTGGAACACCCTTGTAGGAAACTCTTGTAGGAAACTCTTGTGGGACACTCTTGTAGGACACTCTTGTGGGACACTCTTACACGACACTCTTGTAGGACACTCTTGTAGGAACACTCTTGTGGGTCACTCTTGTAGGCAACTCTTGTGGGGCACTCTTGTAGGACACTCTTGTGGGACACTCTTGTGGGACACTCTTATAGGACACTCTTGTGGAACACTCTTGTGGGACACTCTTGTAGGACACTCTTGCGGGACACTCTTGTAGGACACTCTTGTGGGACACTCTCATAGGACACTCTTGTGGGCCACTCTTGTGGGTCACTTGCAGGACACTCTTGTGGGACACTCTTGTAGGAAACTCTTGTGGGACACTCTTGTAGGAAACTCTTGTGGACACTCTTGTGGGACGCTCTCGTAGGAGACTCTTGTGGGAGACTCTTGTGGGTCACTCTTGTAGGAAACTCTTGTCGGGCACTCTTGTAGGACACTCTTGTGGGACACTCTTGTAGGACACTCTCGTAGGACACTCTTGTGGGTCACTCTTGTAGGAAACTCTTGTGGGACACTCTTGTAGGAAACTCTTGTGGGACACTCTTGTAGGACACTCTCGTAGGACACTCTTGTGGGTCACTCTTGTAGGAAACTCTGGTGGGATACTCCTGTAGGACACTCTTAAGGGACACTCTTGTGAGACACTCTAATGGGACACTCTTGTGGGACACTCTTGGTGCACACACTCTTGTGGGACACTCTTCCAGCTCCCCAGATACTCCGCATACTAAGGTTGTACTACAACGTCGCCAGTGCTCGCCTGCATTTCGCGCGCTCGACACGCACGACCTCCGCAGAGGGTTGCGCGGGCACCGGACAAATCGCACTCTCGCCTGCATTTCGCGCACTCGACACGCACGATCTCCGCGGAGGGTTGCGCGTCAAGTCTCCAAAACGAGCGTTTCGCACGAGACTTCCTCAAAAACTCACGCGTCAAAGTCTGCAAAACGAGCGTTTCGTATGAGACTTCCTCCAAAAGTCAAGCGGAAACACCCATCGGAGCACCCACATCACGCAGCCCTGCCAAGCAGTTTCGCGATTCCAGCCCCTCCAAACAACATCCGCTCACACGCCAATCCCAATGTGACAGCGACATTCACCTCTACCACAACTCACAACCTCACGATTCCCTGCGCCTGCCACGAATCTTTCCGCGTCCACACGTCTAACACGCACAAAGTACTGCGCCTGCCACGAAATGTCACCTCCGTCACACCTCGCAACCTCACGATTCCCTGCGCCTGCCACGAGAATCGCACTTCTACGCCTCAAACCCCGCACAAAGTCCTGCGCCTGCCACGAAAAGTGGCAATATCATCTCACGTGAGCTTCAACAAAATTTGCACCACACCACACGTTTGGAATGATTTCGACCCGTTCTGAGCACGCTGCCATGCCACACCCTGAAACGCAAATACCAATGGCGCGGCCACATCCAACACCCCAAAAACACGACTCTCCCAACGCTAAGCCCAATGGAACTGCGCAGCAATCTGCAGATCTCACAAAACGCTGCGCCTGTGCAGCGAAATGCATCACGTTTCTTGCGCGACATGTCGGTGTCATGCAAATCACAATGGAATAGCGGCGCAAACTGACACGTGACACATCCATGCAAAGACACTTGCAAAAGCTTCCCCCAATGGCAGCAAATTTGAGACGCGACGACGACGAGAGACGACGAGAGACGACGAGAGACGACGACACGACGCAAGCCATGCAAACACAGCTCCAACCCCCAGACCCCCAACTATAAACGGGAACCCTTCGCTACGCATTCGGGAACAACCCCGGAAGAACACGGTGACAAATTTGCACCGCACGTACATATTTAAAAGCAACAACATTGGGCGACTGCGTGGTAAAATAAAATAAAGGCAACCTACCGGCGAAAAGCGGCAAACAATTGCTTTTACCTACCGCGCGTGTGGTAAAAGGCATTGGGTGACCGACCCGGGAACAACGGCGAAACAAGACACTTTTCATTAATTTTCCATGTGCCTCGGGGAACGCCCGAGCACCGCTAAACCACAGCAAGAACGGCGCAGTTCCCTCGGTTATCACTGGTTCGAATGTCTAAGGGGCCTCCATTGGCAGTGCGAAATGCTTTGCTGCAGGCGTGATAGTGCCACTGCTGATGCTTTAGGAATGAAAAGAAAGGACATGTTTGTTTGAACTTGCAGGTCCTGGGCATGGCCAAGCACCTGGCTAGAGACAGAGAGACAGAGACGGAAAGCATGCCCTGCTGGTGCTACAGGGTTCTTGGGCTCCTCTTCTTCGTTTTTGTTACAGGGTATTACAAAACAAAGCAGCCTGGCCATTTCTAGTTCGTCTTGCAGGGGGTCAAAGCAAACCCGAACCCTAATTTAATGTGGAATCTTGATTGCTTAAAAAACTCATTGTCATTTGGATTGTAAGATCTAATTGGATTAGTTTTTGACATAATCAACAGTCTAGTCAAGTCTATACACTACTCAGCCCAACTCTAAAGGTTTGGGTAATGAAACCACACATCTCCGTGTCTTAACACCATTGGCATGGCCCCCGGCACTTGTTGCTCCCTGCCTTTTTGCAGTGCAACCCCACCCAAACAAGGATGTCAAATCTCGTAAAATGTATGTATATATCTTTCATTGTTTTTTTTGCACCTGCTATGGAATTTGTTGACTCTGGATGGTTTCAGCATTGTTGCGCTGAGGCCCAGAGGCCTTTTTTTGGCCAGGTCTGCAGCGAGGCTCCACGGGCCACGCGAAGAGGCCACAGACATGGGCTAGGCCCCAAGTGCCCCGAATACGGCGGAGCATGTATTGAAACCCAGAGAGAATGGTTGAACTTGATCATGCAAGGCTGGCCCAATCAGTTGAAGTAGGCATGACCCTTGTACCAAGGGATAATGACGGGTGTGCAGTTTGAGGCTGCAAGAACAGATGAAACTTAGGCGAGATACAAAAGCAACTATATATTCCATGAATGCTTTCGGCACAAACGCCTGGTTAATAAAAGATACTGCACATACAACACAACCAGGGATCCAGATGAGGGCGGCATAGGATCCACCGGTATCCACTAGCAATCGCCATTCCTCCCTATCATCCTCGCCATGGCCTTGTTAGCCTTGCTGCTGTTGGCGGCCGGTGGGGTTTCAAGTGAGGCAACAACTTCTTTTGATTGGCCTTACGAGGCCTACGAAGGGTGCCAAAGCCGCTGCTTTGTTCATGCTGTAAAAAGGCCGACTTTTGGCCCGTGTGGAGTTCTTTGAGGGGAGATTCCGCTGAGTAACTGATGTAACTGGCACACCTTTTCTTGGCGAAGCTTTTCTACCCTGCAAGGAGGACGTGGCCAGGGCATTCGCCAGCCTCACATCAGCTTCTTACTGTGGTGCTGATGAAGGTTTGATGAATTGGACGTGTAGGCCGCACCTTCTTGCCGATCAACTGCATCCACACACAGCTTATGGAGTGTAAGAAAAGTCTAGAAATAGTGGTGTTATTTTCACGGGGCTCCCTTTCAGAATCCAGCAAAAAAGAGCTGAACTAATTCTCAGATGTCTACATCAAGATAAGGCTTCGTCTGGAAACCAAACCACAAGCACATCCTACAATCTGCCGGTTGATATTGTGGGTCAAAACTTGGAGTAAACCCTGAAGGGTTGACATCCCTGCGTTCGTCCATTCATTCTGTTCATTTTCCGTCAACCAGTCAGTCCCCCGCTGCACCCACAGCCATTTTCTGTTGCGTCAGCGATGTGTGGACGCCCCATCAGCGCAGGGAGTGTGAAGATGTGGACCTCCGACTGAATTTGAGCACCTTGAGATTTGTTGAGCGACGTGAGCTGATCCAGCCCAACTCCACCTTCGTCTTGCTTGCACGTGTGTCCACGCGCACAACGAGTGGATGTGTGTTGTCTTTTCGGGGAAGTGTCATGGATTGGATTGGCAAGTTATATACTTTGAACAAGTTTGATGTGTATTTTTTTAGTATGATTCGTGATTCGCCTGTAGATCACAGGTGCAACAAGTTGAAGCAACGTTTAAGACCTGTCGATTGTTGGTTTTGCTCTCAAAGATATGCGTTTGATGTGGCTTGCTGTTCTGCTTTCTCGCAGAACTGATTTTGTAGCCATGCCAGGCACCACGGTGACAAATTGGATCGAAGACTTCCGCTTTTGGAATACGCCAGTTCCCTTCAGTTGGTGCAAGGGATGCTACGTGGAAGCTGGCTTTTCAAGCATTTGGCACAGTGTGAAAGATGAAGTGCAGTTGAAGCTGGGGCAGATGGGCTGCGTTCCGGTCAATCAACGTGCCTCCGTCTCCTCCACTTCAAACCTCTACATCACAGGTTCGAGACATGGGACCTTGTTGAAAAGAAAGGACGGACTTCATCCAGAAGGAAGGACACCACAGATTTAATTTGGGAAGATGTTTATTTTTTCAATTTGTTCACCCCTTGTAGGTCACTCATTGGGTGCAGCTGTTGGAACCATTGCAATGTGCTCATTAGAAGCTTCTGGGTACAATGTGGGACTTTCTTATCTCTTCGAGTCGCCTCGAGTGGGAAACACTCCATTCACGGAAGCCTTTGACCATGAATTTGCTCGGCGGATTCCAATGTACCGCATTACACATTCTCGCGATCCAGTTCCTCATCTTCCACCGCGATATTTGACAGGGTTCAGGCAAGATGAAACGAGTCCCTGTTTAAACTGCTCACGGAAGAGGTTGAATGCAGATTCCTTGCGTCAATGAAATGCTGGTCAGGTATGCGCACGTGAACTACGAAGTCTTCTACGATGAAAACGGAGTGTGGCATTTTTGCACTCAAGAGGAGGATCGGAATTGCTCTGACCGGTACTCCTTACCGCAGACACTCAGGCCACCAAGGGCACAGATTGCGACAATTCCACTTCAAAATGTTTTGAAAATAAACACATATGCCAGAGAACAACCATGATTTGGTAGACCACTGGCGACCCAGCTCAGGGCATAGCCCTGCATGCTCAACCAGCAACTAGCGAGGGAAGCAACTAAGCCACTCTCAAACATGCAGTTGTGTAGGGAGAATAGGCATGGACATCTGTGCAACGAGGGACATGTCCGCCAAGGTTAAAACATTGCAAAACCGCACTGTACACATTTGTAAGCAGATGTCCCGTGCTCATAATGGATCCAACATGTTTTACTTTTTTCCACTTGCTCAAAGGCTCAAAGGCCAGTCCTTGGTTTCTTAATCATCAGCTGCGTAGGGTGAACGATCACACTTGTTTAGAGTGCATCTGTCAGACAAGGCCGGGCAAAGCCTGGACTGTCCATGTCCTTCTGCCACAACCATTGCCAATCACACCTTTGCTGTTTCGATACATAATTTACCACAAGAAAAATATTAAGCATGCTACCTTCATCGAACCTTTATTGACAGGTATACATCTGACCACTGTGCCAGCCCCCTTGCAGCTTCTGGAAGTTTATGTCACTGTCCGCTCCATAGTGGCTTGGTCGCAGAACTGTAGCAGTTGCAGCCTTTCCTTTTTTCTTCAACGGCGCTGTGGGTTCTTGGTTAAGTCTTGTTAAGTAGCTGATACATAGCCGCAAAATAGCCTTGCCTGGTTAAAGATGAAGAAATGGCCTGGCCAGCTTTGAGAACTATATTGATTATATGTGTGTACCTTTGACCAAGGACACTCCTCAACGATCCTGGTGTAGGATCAAGAAGCGGACTCTGTTCACTCCTTTCATGATCAGGGCATAGTTCATGCATCTATGCGCGAATCATCAGGGGAGGAAGAATTGGTGCAAGAAATTTGTTTGATGGGGAGCCGAGATGAATTTTAAGGTGTTTCGGCTCAATGTACATTAGCCATCAAAAGGGTCGGCTTTGGTCGTCAGTGAGCAGGCCTGCGCTTGAATCCTCCCAAACTTTGAACGGCTGAAATGGTCTAGAGACTCTATTAGACACATGGCCTTCAGCCGTTCTTTATTGAACCAAACAAAAGAATCTTGTTTCCCCTCATTGAGCCTCTTCAACAAAGGATGATTTCAGCTTTTAACATGGCTTGTTTGTTTGGCTACTAAGGTTCAGAAACCTAATTGTTTTACCAAAATTGCAAGAAGGTTTGGGAGGATTCCAAAGGTGGTGTTGGAGTCCACAGATCCTTGCCGTCCGAATTTGCTGTCCTCCACTTGCAGCTCTTGTGATGATAGGGCTGTTCCAGGAATAGACTAAGAGTGACGAAGATGAGTAGTGCAAAAAGATCAAAAAGGATCAAGCAGCCATGGTCATGTGTGTTTGCTTGGGCCTTTTCACAGATTGCAATGTATTGCAATGCAACGAAATGCCTCGCCAAGTTTTGGCTTCATCGAGTGCGAAGAACTGGGACGAGTTTGCTGCCCAGATCATTCGAAAGCACATGCAAAGTGCAGGGTTCTGGTCGAGCGCCGCAGGGTTCTGAGAACGCAACTGTTCACACCGTAGTGCAAATCTAGTGCAGCTGAGATGCGATTGGACTGCCAGACCCTTCTCGGAAGGTCTTCTTTGCACGCCGACATTTGCCTCACTCTCGACTATCCGTACAGCCGGGGGGCACAGCCAAGTCAGGCAATTCATTGTACCCTTGATTCAGCTTGTGTTAATGGTATGTTAATGGTTCTGTAATTACAGGAGTCTATTCAAGTAAATCCTGAGCAGACCTGGTCCTGATGGTCCTGCATTTCATCCTGCCAGGGGTCAGAACGTCTCGTTCAGTTTGGATTTCAACAGGTGGGGTGTTTTTTTCTGATTTGCTGAACGTCCCACCGTCCCACTATCAGCTTTCACAGGCATGGCCTTTCCAAAGCAGTTAACCTGGAGCTTGAGGAGAGCTGTGCACATTGGAGATCTTAGGGGACAGGCACTTTGGATTTGAATGACAATGTCGCAATAAGATGCAATAAGTTGCTTACCTTGGCCATCTCGCTCGGACAGTTTTCACACATGCACTGCATTCGAAGGAAACAATGTGACACTGCAATTTCTACCTGGGCCTAGCCTCGCTAAAGACTTCGAAGATGCTAAAGACTTATGACTATAAATATATATATATAGATGACTATAGATTGATGGTAGCGATAAGATTGCTATAAGTATATAGATTACTATAGATTACTATATAGTAATCTATATATATTACTTATATATAATCTAAAAAATACTATATATATAGATTACTATATACATTACTAATGCCTGATGGCAGCATTTGGTATTGTTCAAGCACATGAAGGACACCATCCCGCCACTCGAAGTGTATGATGGTGCTAATCATCCGACATAGTTCGTTCTGAAAGGAGGATGGGGATGGGCATAGCTAGTAGAGCTTGAGCGATGTGGAGTTCAGAGTTCTACATGCATTTTTGTCCCACTCGCGAATGCGATCATCAACAGAAAAGACACCTCTCTTTTTGCATGCGGCCAGTTTGCATGGTTTTAGATTCAGAAGGCAATCATTGACTTGAGTCCAATCGGTCCCCTGAGGACACACTTCGCTCCGCTGACATGCACTGCTGACATCGGTCACCTGTGCAAACTGGAAGAGGCTTTTCAGCCCGAAGATCCTCAGCTTCCAGCGCTCGGACTTGAAGAACCTGGATATGATCATTTGCACTCACTTTTACGCAGTGCATTGCATTCTCATCGGATCTCAGCTTGCGAGTAGATTGCTGACCCGGCTCATCCTCATGGCCAAGATCAACATGATGAGCAGATGGGGTTGGGACCAGCTTGCCTCCTGAGGCTTCTTGCGATACGTTATTTAGATTGGAATAGATTTAAGCAGATTGCTTGGCAGATTCCTTCTGCACTGTCCTGACACCATTTTCTGAGAAAAGGGAGCGTTTTGTCGACTGTCATGATATCAATGTGCTGAATGTGCCTCAAACTTTAGTACAACGTGGTTCAGTCACCTCCTTGGTCCACAGACATGCCCTTGACAACATTTTGGCCGACGGCACTAGAAGATTTTCGGTGTCAATCTGTAGATCGCTGCTGTTTAGGCTGCAAAGAATATGCAAGGAGTGTAGGTACGTATGTGGATAAACAGAGGGGGGGAACAAGTCAACGAGTTGCTAGTGTACCAGCTGAGGCTACAACACAAGAAGAAGTAGACGCGAGCCACAGCTTTCCAGGCTTCCCAACAGCCGCAGCGGTGTGGAATCTAGCAGTGACACAAATGGGTCATGTCTTGATAGAGCTCAACACTTACAAGATCTCACAAGCCTTTGATATCATAACTTGGTCTACTGGCAGCGCGGCAGAGTTTAGCCAGCGTCGAAGCCACGGCCTGCAAACGATTGCGTCTCCTGCTTGGCTTGTACTTTTGGCCATTCTTGAGGAGTTTCATACAAATATACGTTAAATACACACACTATAGTTATATATACATTAATGTTACATATCATATAAACCAAAAGATTCAGCACCCCGTTTCAGAGTTGACCAGCGTGTTTGCACATCGAGCAAAAACAATCTCTATTGGCTTACAACTTGCTCGCCAGAGGTTTCGTCCTTTGTCGAGGTTTTGTTGAAGCCATCATCAGCATTCAGGTGAGTGTATATGTAGAATTATGATGAGTTGTGAGATGCTCCGTAACGTTCTAACAAGGTATGTGGCACTTTTTCCTACCGGTGTGCATCCAAGCTTCAGATCTCATCACACTGGCACAAAACCAGTTTCTGAAGGCTGTATGATTTTTCATCTTCAACAGTATAGTGTCGGCACTCTCGAAGTTGCCACAGCACAAGAGGGCAAACCATTGGCACAGGGCTCTCAAAGATTGGAGCATAACGCTCCCAGGTCCTATGGACTCTGGTGCTGGGAAAGACTGTGACTCCACGTGTGAAATGGGGTCAAAACAAGGTCCGAAGCTGAGAGGATTTGCGAGCTTTTAGCTTCCGTGTGCAAGTGACTGCAAGTGCTAGTATTGCTGAAGCTAGTGAACTTTGGCTGTTGAATTGAATTATATAGTATACTATAGAATCGATTCCCAGCAAAGCTTTGCACCACTACTTGTCTCACTCCACGTTCTGGCACAACCAAGTGGTCCTTTGATGTTGGCTGCAACACGGCATGATTTTTCGTTTTCAATGATCGCGTGCATGTGGCCTTTGTGTTTCACGGGTTCGGGATTTCTCACAGCATCCTCATGCCGCACCAGAATTGCCACGGGTTTCCACGGCGAGTTGCCCAGGAGCAGCTCTTTATCTCAGTCATCGTGCCACGCCCTTGGCCCCGTGCACTTTGCAAAGATCTCGTGACAAGGGCTGCTTTGCAACTCTTAGTGGAAGCAGTAGTTGTTTTGGCTTTGTTTGGTTGAAGTTGAGTTTTGACTTGACCAATAATATTTGGACACTCAATTCACTTCCAGCAGGGAATTCATTCATGCAGTTGACTATTTGATGCTCTTCTCCAGCAGCATGAATATGCTCTCGAGGGTTGGTATGACAGTTGGATGCATTTCCGCAAGGAGCATCCTACAGCATGTACAACGTAGACATATGATACATATGCAGACTCTTGTAGACTCTGCAGCACCGTCCAAGTGAGCGCAGCTCCGTTGCCTCGAGACTTGAGGCGAGATCTGGAGCTTAGCACCGTGTGGAGTGCTCACACCCGGCGGTACATTCATTGGACGTCTGAAGCAAACGCCAATGGAACACCCGATCAGGTCAGTACAGGTCAGTGAAAGTGCCGGACGCCAAGAGTTGGGGTGGGGTACGTAGCGCAGAGTCTTACTTCGGTGGTGCAGTGGCTGAAAGAACATTGGACACAATTAGTATGGCAAGCTGAGGATCTTAGCTTTTGGGCAAAGAGCACTGCTGGTGACGAGAATGTCCAATGCTTAGAAAGATAGCCATGTTCCGCAAGTATGCCAGTCAGTATTGGCCAGTACGAAGAATTGCAGCGGGTGTTGGCGAAACTTCTGCAGTGAACAGTTACCCGAATAGCCCTGCTTGAATAGGTGCTGCAGATACCTTTGCGCGATGACGTCAAACAGGTGTGATGTGGGGGCTGTTGTTCATTCGGACAGAACAGATTTTGAACTATTCACGCCGCTCCGCGGCAAGGTCCGCCCGCACCGCCATGAAACATTTGCCCAACAAAAACGGCGAATAGCGAGGTTTTCGAGGTTGACGTTGCCAAAAACGCCACTACGTACCGTATTTTACAGTGTTTTTATGCTCTGTGAGGCAGAAACCACTGCAAATAGCGATGTTTTTGAGCTTGCCGTGGCCCAAATGAACCTGCTGTCAAAAAACACCGCAATTTGCGACGTGTTCAACAACATGGTCGCCAAAAACACTGCTATTTGCGAGTTTTTTACATTTTCGCGCAAAGAACTCAAGCCTCGGCAATGTACAAAATCACTGCAAAAACGAATGTTTCTGCCCAACAAAAACGGCGAAAGCCGTCACCCAAACAGCTCCGAAATCACAAAATCTGGCCTCCCACTCCGACAAGACACATGGAAAACATATGAAAAAAGACACGTCTCAAAACCGAAAATCGAAGACCACAAGTCAAAAGACACATGATTTTTTCACTGTTCTCTTGCCGGTTCCGGGCGGGCGCGTGCACGAACTAGTCCATTCCGTGCTGTAAAAACAAATGTTTTTTGAAGTCCACCGTCGTGACCTATCAAAAACCTATGGTTTTGGCCAAAACATAGGCCAGGTAAACCTGTACCTTACAGTTGTTTAGGCCATCCGGATGATCACGCCCTGAGCACCTTCGGTGCGGGCGGATTGGTGGAAAGGACCCCAGAATCTCATACAAATAGTAACTTCTGGAAACTTGTTCAAGGACATAATTTGACAATCAGTGTGTGAATGAGTATGAGTATCAGTTGTGATTTCAGGAGAGGATGGCATATTGAGTCCTAGCAGGTTCAAAGCATCAAGGTCCTTAGCATCAGGGCCTGGGAAGGCTTCCCGGGCCTGGCCATGCACAGGACAGCCTCAAGTGGGAGATTGCTGCCAGACCTGACAAATGGGGCACAACGACCATGATCACACTAGGCACCAGACATGGAGCTTGTAGTAGCAAGGTGCATCGCTACCAGGAACAAGTTCATTGCTACTAGTAACAAGAAGTTACTAGTAGCATGGTCGCATGGTGCCTTGCTACTAGTAGCTTGTTACTACTACTAAGGCACCTTACTACTAGTAGTAATGCACTTGTTACTAGTAGCGATGCACTTGATACCATGCTGAGAGCCTTGCTATGAAAAATCGGCAGAGAGAGAAAATCAGCTTTGGCAGGGAAGGGCCATGCACACCGCTGGGATGTTCTGACCAGTGACACCAAGAAGTTCAAAGGCTTGATTGACAAGGATATGTTGAGTTTGATGCATTGCCCCTGTGATCGATCCTGAAGATACCCAGACTGGACTGGTCGGCTTTGAGGACTGGACTCGTGAAGATCAAACCCTGGAACCAGCGGAGGAGGCTTGGTGAGTCGGATTCAGTCAAGCTTCCTGAGGATCAGCTGAATAAAAGTGAGGCATGAAATTCTTCCTGAGAACAAGGGATGTTTTATCGACTCATGTGGTTTTGTTACATTCTTACCTGAGAGGCACATAAAAGCCTTGCCTTTGCCAAGCCTTTCATGTGTGCTGCAGATGTCTCTCTTTGATGATGCTGAGAGTGTTCTCAGACTCAATGAGAAGAACTTCAATAAGCAGCAAGCCGAGATGCTGGCTTTTGTATGGGATTGTCCAAGAAGATGTTGCCCAACAGACTGACTGGATGATGCAGTGAGAGTCTGTAGTATTTGCTTGTAGGTACCGGAGGTCTGTTTTAATGTGCTAAGGCTTCGAGCTAGATACTTGAATTATACATTTTTGCTACTGAATCAGGACAGTTGCGGCACATCCATGCCTGGTGGTGTCGGCCAGGCTGCAAAATTATGTCATACATATTTTGCGACAGAACATAATAAATGGAATTGCAAAATTATGTCATACATTTTTGTCAGTCAACACATCAACACAATTCAATACATACATTGTGTGTAGAATCGTATGAATCAAAGGTTGTCACTCTTTAGTACCATGTCCTTCTCCATGAAGTGGTTTTTGAAGTTTGCCTGCAGATTCCCATGGTGCAGTGATTGTAAGTCTGCGGTTTTGGCCTCAGATTTAGCTAATCACACAGAAACCCAAATGCTTTTGCCCCCACTTTTGCCCAGAGTTGCACCACCAAGGATCAAACTTTTCTGAAGGCATCATCTGCTGCAAAGGTGTGTTGCTGAGCCCAGGGGGTGGCTGGACAGCGAATATCAAAGTTGCTGCCATTGCAGCCATTGTGTGAAGGTTCGCAGCAAAAAAAGAAAGGAATGGAAGAAGGCCATCCTTTTGCTTGACGATGTACTGTAAAACCAACATCGCTCATCTTTGCCCAGACATTAGAAGTTGGAATCCCAACTGAAACCAGTATTTCTCCAGTTCGTTCGCTGGGAGAGGAGCATTTGAGGTTTGGGTAATCATGAAAGCATATGAGATCCGATGACCAGGTGAGGTTTGGCTTCCTGGATGCGCGCGAGAACAAGCGCTTGGCATCCCTGGCACTTGTTGGCGGATTTGATCTTGCCGGTTGAAGGCTACACTGTACTGGCTGGACTCTTGTACATTGTACATGTACTTTTGATACCGACCGGCATCCATTTGTAGCAGACATTCCAAAGGTGAGGCTTTGATAAGCTTGCTGGAACACTCTGTCGGACCAATGCAAGTGCCCCATATGAGTTGAAGCAAGTCGATTGCTGCGGATTCATTTAGTACTGAATCTGGGCTGGGCGCTTCGCTTGCCAATTTTTGCAGTTCATGTGTTTCAATGCCCCAGGCAAGAAAGCTTCATGTATCCTGCAGCTACAGCTGTAGAGCCCTCAGGCATGGTGAACTGGTCTTCAGGAGGGGGCAAGGGG